AACCCTAATAGCTACCGGACGGGGCAGCAGTAACCCTAATAGCTACCGGACGGGGCAGCAGTAACCCTAATAGCTACCGGACGGGGCAGCAGTAATCCTAATAGCTACCGGACGGGGCACACTTCTCCTGTGTTGGGTGATCGGCTAAGCGCTCAGCGTAAGGTGAAGTCTTCACATAAGCTCATTTTACTGAAACTCCTGACGACCTTTCTAGGTAGGAACCATTGTCAGGGTCAGGAAACAGGATCAGGAAACAAGCACACAGAGGTTATCAGCAGAAGGCCAGATAGCAGGTAAGTGTGAGAGCCGGGATTCACATTCGCCCACCCCAACCCCAGGGGCCAGTGACCTCATGCACACACTTTTGGCTGCCGGCTCCACAGAGCAACTTTCTTACACAGCAAAGCTTTCTAAAAAAGCTGATAAGGCAAAAAGCAGAAGTTTAGAAACGTAGGAGTTTATTACCACATTCCTCTGTTCACCTAATTCTCCCACACCCCCAGGAAGACAGAAATCCCCCCACATCTAGTAATCCACTAAAGTGGCTGTTACCCAGAACCACTGGGAAATAACTCATTCTGGAAAACCAAGTTTTCTGCACAGCAAAGCATTTATTCTTTAAATAGCTAGCTCCTGAGAAACAAATGAAAAGGCGAGTTTACTTGAATAGACAGTGCTTTGCAGTGTAGCACAGACGCCCCTGCTTTTTTAGAGTATATTTCATTTAGCAAAAAGTTTGAGCATGACCATAGGCCAGGCATTGCTCTAGCATGAGAAGTGCAATAAAAAGGAAAAAAAAATATTGTCCCCACTGTCCTAGGGCACAATTCTAGTCTGCTCTAAAATAATCGACCTTGGTCAGGTGCTGTGGCTCATGCCTGTAATCCTTCTAGCACCCTGGGAGGTAGAGGCAGGAGGATTGCTTTAGCTCAGGAGTTTAAGACCAACCTGAGCAAGAGTGAGACACCCCCCCCACACACACTAAAACTAAAAAAAAAAAAATTAGCTGGGCATTATGGCGGGCACCTGTACTCCCAGCTACTCAGGAGCTTGAGGCAGGAGGCCTGCTTGAGCCCAGGAATTTGAGGTTGCTGTGAGCTAGGCTGAGGGCATGGCAGTCTAGCCTGGGCATCAGAATGAGACTGTCTCAAAAGAAAAAACAAAAAATAAAATCAAAGAATCAACTCATTGCCGTATGTTCCTATCACATGGTGATGTTTTCAAATTCTTACTCAAGTGTACTGGAGCATTTATTACCAAAGCTAATGGCCCAAATAGGTCTGATTCTTGAAAGCTTTCACTCCTCTCAGCAATCTCAGGTCCTTACAGTCAGTTTGCTTTCTCCACTGATGCTTCTAATCTGCTGTGGTCTTGGAAACCAGATAACCAGTGTTGCTAGAATTTTCTGTCTTATAAGTCTAAGCATGCTCATATGTATTTGAGCATGAGTTTTTAGCTCAGTTTTAACCCAGGAGCATTTGATGCTCTTATTTGGAAATGCCTTGAGTAGGGAGGTTGTATTGTAGTTATCTTTTCCACACGTCAACTAGTAACCCACACTATTCCTTGCCCAATAATTTTTATTAGTGTAAACTAAGGGAGCCCAGGCAATGGGAGTATGCTTTGTGAACTTGAAACAGAAATTCTCCTGAATACATCTAAACACATTTTCAGGAGAGGGGCTGCTTTAAAAATTTCAAACCAATCATCTGATGTCTTTAGTTATGGTATAATTTCACATCTTTTTAACTCCTGTAATTGAATTACAAATACTTCTATGATGTTACCACTAAAATTATGGAATTTCTCATAAAATAATTACTTATTGCATGTAATTTTTTAAATAAAAATCTTAAATTATTTACAGTATGGGAAAGGACTTTGCTATGTATAATGATGTTATGAGTTTTAGAACTAGATATTCATGTCCCTACAAATACATGTTGGTTTTAATTCCAGACGGTTGTAATTCTGCTCAAGAACCTCCCAGTTCACTAAAACAATTAAATGCAATACCATAAAAAAAAAACTTAACTCAATTTGTAAATAATCAGTAAATTACTAGTGAACACAAATGAGCCCTCTTTGAAGTTGAATGACAGACTTCTGATAAAAATAGGAGTGAGAGTAGCTATACTCTTGATCACCCATTCAAAAAGACAAAGTTGCTATTGTTGGCTCCCATAAGACTGTGGAGATAAAAGAATGTAAATAATCCCCAAATTCTACAGAATTCCTTTAAATGCATTTATATCCAAATTTACAGTGTTGTTAGTTATACTTACTATGGATCTTTTACTAAGTTGATCTCTCCATTTTTCAACTAGGCAATTTTCAAGAAGCATCATCCTGGAATAAAAGTAATTTGTCTTATTTAATAAGCAGCTTTTCATTATAAAAGCATAATGTTTAAAAATATGGAACATTGTAAGAAAAACTCTTAATCCTGCAATCCACGTATCTGCCACTTACATTTTATCGGTATTTCCTTTCATTCTTCTCTGTACCTGTGTATATTTTTAGATCACACTGTATATTTTGATCATGCTGCACATTTCCTTTTATCATGACATTATGTGAATTTCTGATATGGTAATTCAAAAATATAACTTTAATAACATAACATTACAACTACGGACATCTATAAAATGTTTAGCATATCCATACTGTTGAATCTCCCTCTTGTTTAGCTGTTACTATCAGTGTTGCATTGAAAATTCTTATATATCATAGTGTGCCCTGGCTTATTATTTCTTTAGGACAGATTTCTAAAAGTAGAATAACTGAGATAAAGGTTATGTATTTTTTAAAACTATTTTCAATGCATAGTGCCAGGTTGTTTTTAAAATGGTTACACTTTCATCTAATTCACTAACATTAAGAGTTAGATAAAAATGAAATCTTTTTTATTTGAATTTTGGAATTTAGGAAGTAATTTACTATTTATATTTACTATTTATATTTCTTTTGGAATTTGCATATATAAACTTAGTATACATATGTCTATATTGTGGCGTCACGGTTTCAAACACTAGTTTGTATGAATTCTCTATAGAGTACAATAATCATTTCTTTGTCATAGCTATCATAAATATTTTTCTGGATTTTTTACTTGTTTTTTTATTTCTACTTGTGATTTTTTGCATATATAATACAGGGTGGCCATAAAGTTTGTGTGCCATTTAAAATATTTGTCTTTATGGCCACCCGGTATTGTGTAGTCAGATACGCATATTGACATTTTCCCTTGTAATTTCTCACATTATTTTTATGTTTAGGAAGTACTTTGCCTTTAAGATAATTACACATTTAGTTGCCTAATTTTATCTTCTTTGACTAAGTACTTAAGATATGTGTCTCTTTAATCCTCTTGAAATTTATTTTATAGCATAGCATAAAGAGAATAAAATATATTATTTTTCCAAATTAGAATATTTGCAACATTCACTAAATAATAATTTGTCATATTTGCTTCATAATAGAAATGCTCTTTCATGCTTTAGAATCTGTTTCATGGATTTTTCCCATTTTTATCTATTTATACATCTATCTAGTCTCATGCCACACAGTTTTAATGAGTAGAGTTTTATACATGCATCAGTTTTGCGGGTCTCCGGGGGGCAGACTTCCTCTCATAATTCTTATTTTCAAAATCTCCAGTAGATGCCCTTACATAAATCCCAGTCATCCAAAAATATTTTTACTGGGTCGGATTTATATGCCATTCGTTTCCTAGATAGAATTTAAGGATGAGTAACCTGGTACATCCCTGCTGCATTTAGCACTGCCACAGATACCAACACCATGCAAGAGAAGAGCCCAGAAACATTGATTGCTCCTTTAGAGAGAAAATAGACAGTAGAGTGACTTTGAAACCAAGAACACAAGGCGATACCCACAATGTGAGGAGGGTACCAAGCACTGATAGAATACAGAATAAGACATTATTCAAGTAAGCCTATTTCCAGAAGATTTTTTTTTTTTGAAGGAAGAGAGTCTTGAGCTGTATCAGGAAGAAATGAATGAGCATTAATAGAAGAGAATGAAAAGGATGACTTAATTTATAAAGATGAGTGATTTTGCTGGAGAAGTACATTGCAGTAAGTTATGAGGCCCGTCCTGGAAACTAGGCTGAAGAGCTTGACTTTATATTGTAAGGAATGGACCAGTACGTGAAAAGATGACAAGGAAAGAGGGGGGAAGGAAAATACTCCCAGACAGGGCGATGCATGTATATGTGAGCAAGTGTGTAGGACACATATATTTATTTTTTGATACTTTGCCTTGTGATCATTTGAAATAAGAATCATGTGTTCTTAGATTCAGAAGTCACCTTAAAACTTGTATGTGTTTTGAGTGTGTACAATAGTCTGTCAAGCGAATATTGGGAGAGGTATATAAGAAAAACATGGGAAACCATAGTCTCTAATGGATACTTACTTAATATTTATTAATAAAGAGGCCTTGAAAAAATCAGTATTTGCCACACTAAGATTATTTGAATGATTTGAAAAGAACTGTTCTTACTCAAGATAATTTGCTTGCCTATTAAGCTTTGAAATTAGTTTAGATTCTAAAGTTGAGTTTTAAAGATTTCATTAAAATAATCACATTCCTTTTTTTCTCTTCATTGTGTGAGGAATGAATTGATATTTGTGATAGCCCAACAAAGATATCTCCTAAAACTCCTTTTTAAAGAAGAACTACTGGCGCTGTTTTGTCGTTGAAACCACAACTGGGAAAGGAGATTTATTTATTTAGCACTGTGCACAGAGTCCTTCCTGCCCCTTTGAGCCTACCTTGACCGCCACTCATAACACATGATGAGCACATCTTGGTGGGGAAGGATGTGTGGACACTGGCAGGAAGAATTTGTAATGAGTGGAACTTGAGTTCGAGGGATGGGCGATGAGGATTTGAAGATCTCTTTGACATCCACCACTGTCGTTACTTCATTACAGCCGCTCCTCTGCACAGCTTTAATTTTGGCATGAATAACTACAATTTAAAAGAGATAAAAGTGTTGTTGAAGCCCTTGGGAAACAGCTAGGCATTGTGTATTCATGCCAACTCCTGGGCCTCTCTTAAAGAATCAGTCCTGTAATTATGGTCATGTCCAAGCAGCCAAAATGCAGGCGGAAAGCCTACACAGTCATATGCTAAATGTAAGGCTTCCCATATCATCAACATTGTCTTAAAAGCTCTGAATCATACTGCAAGATGGGAAAGCAAATTAGGAAGCAGGCTTTTGTTTGGGTTCTGCCGTTGGGTCAGTGAAAATTTCACAGAGACGTTTGTTTATATTCTCCTTTGTAATGATCTGACATTAGGATCACAGATTCTGAGAATCAGAAGTCACCTAAAAGTTTGATTTCTTCAATCACTTATCTGATGCTTGAACTTGTTCTGTGTAATAGAACAGTGATTAGTCACAACATTTTCAAACTGGAAGGAGTCTCTGAGGATTGTCAATCTTTTAGAAAGTGAGACCCGTGGTGAGTAGAGATGGAACTGTTATTACAGATGGTGGCTAATGTCATCATCTCTGATCAAGTTTTAAATTCTGGTTTCTTCAGTCCCTTGCCTCCCACAGAGTTGTAATCAGCCTAATATGGGACTGTCTTGGATTTCATCCTGGGAAGCTGGCTTATGAAGGATCCGAAACACTTGAGTGGAAAATGGTTTCATTATCAAGGTAGTTCCAAGGCCATGACACCCAGAGAACAGAATGTCAGTGAAATCCTAACTGATACCCAAGGCTGGATCTTGGCAGTTAGAGAACTAAGCAGACCAGATTAAGATGATATCTACCCAGAACAGGCTTTAAGAAAAAACCCACTGGAAAAAATAAAGTATTTTTTACTATTGTTAAATTACCCACATTGGCTATGTATGATTCTCAAATCTGACAGCTTAATAACAGGTTCTTTTTTTCAGATTTTTTTTATATTGCAATGATCCTTCCACTTTTCGTGTGTGACATATATCGTAAAGTTTCTTGTTGACATAAAATTTCAGTGTAAAATATGAAAACTAAGCAAATAAAATGAACATTTTCTCCAAACAGCTTTCTGTTGTTTTAGTAGAATTTATTTAAGAAATGCAGTGAATATAAAATAGCCAGCCCAAACAGACACTTAAAATTTTTTTAATAAATTTACTTTCAAATGATGATAAAATTAAAATTATTTAAGTATTTATAAAAGTATTTAAAAGTATTATAAAAAGGTATACAGGCTAATCTTAATTCTCGGGGCCTCTGGGTCTTAATTCCCTGGGCCTCAGATAACCCAAATCCATGAATTATTCACCTGTTCTTCCCGGAGAAATCTGATCTCAGGAAGAGACCAGGTGGGGTGTGTCATCTGGGATGAGTGGCACTTCTCACCAAGACAAGGAAGATCAAGTTATTAAACTTTTAATCTGATCTCCTTAACTGTTCTCACCTAGATAATTTCCTTTTTTAAAACTTGATTTACTGAAGAAACAAGAAGTTTAACAATTACTATGTGCCATATACCACCCACATAATTGATTAAAAAACTCATCAGTTCTCTTCTTCACTTTGTGATGAGTAGATCTGGTCTTGGCAATGACAAGCTTGTTGACATTCCAGCTTTGTAAAATGCCCAGTCTCAAAAATAAATGGCTTAATCAGATGACTTACCATAGCTATAGTTTTTGCTCAGATATGTTGCCAAAGTTGGCTTCACCTTTTTGCACTTGCATCTATCTAAAAAAGGGCAAAAGAGAGACAAAAAGTTGGAAGGGGTACAGAATTACTCTGGGGAGGAGAAGAAAGGGGGATCCTTGAGGAAAAAGGAACTCACCAGGGCTTAGGCGTTTACAGTCCATATCGAGAGGCCTTTCCTGCACCATCATGTCTGGCGTGATGTCTATCCACTTAACATCTGGAACACAAACAGGCCACATGGGTTTGGTTGGTGATTTGGTCTGTTCACCCAACTGGAATAAAGAATCACCTCAAGATATAAACTAGCACAGCATCATAATAAGAACAGTACTTAATAGTAAAAGTGACACGTGATTATCAACTACTTCTTTCATAATGCCATCATAGGGCTTAGAAGCCTTTTGGGTGACACTTTGCTTATTTCTGCTCAGCAGAAATGATGGGAATGTACATCCATGTAACCTGTGTGGTACATACAGGCAACGTGGATATATCACATCATTCCCTCTCAACGTCATGTTAAAATGTTGATTTCCAAGTTGACGGTTCACCATAATTAAAATAACCCAAAATATTTTCAAATCCTCACCTCATATTTTGCAGTACAGAAACATTCTATAGTTACATGATGGAACCAAGCTTAACCCTCTACCACTTATCTAATTTAAGCAATGTGTGTGTGTGTCTTTATATATTAAAACTCTAAATTAGAGAGGAGTTTCACTTAACACTCTTCCTGCATGTTTGGGGCAGTGCTCTTGAACATAACTTCAGAGATTACACTACAGCAACACCAGAGTCTCTTTAAGTGTGGGATAGCCTGGGACAGAGAAAGCCTGGATAAAAGAACGCAAAAATATTCTTAGGTTTCATTTCAAGAAGTGAATTTAAACCTGCTCTTTCTTCCTAGAAAAGCAGCCAAATGACCAAAGAAGAAAGAAGGAAGCAGAAGCAGAGACCAGACTAACTAATATGCCACAGTAGTTGGCTCCTGGTCAATGTCCAGGAAACATAAGTCACCATTTCCCAGGGTGATTGCCTTTACAAGCCTCGCTCCTGGCGGGGAGTAATGACCATTGCTGCTTTTTCAAATATAACTTCTGAGAAGCAGCACTAAATGGAGAGAGTATTAACACCTGCCTAGTGAGATGGCTTTCAGCAGCAGATGAGTTAACACACGTGAAGTGCTTAACACTTGTCAAATACATAGGACTGCTGTTTGCCATGATTATTTGTTTCTACTGTAAGTGAAAACATTGCAAATGGCTCCCTTTGTGGGGAAATCAGACTTTTTCATAATTGCATCCCCCTTTCCCACCCTGTCCAAGCCTCAAAGGGTTCTAACATGGCGGCCACAGCCCCGGTACCTCCTCACCTCCCTCCATCCTTCCCCATCCTCACCCTCCGGGAGGTCTGTGACGATGGCTTCGGGCGAGATGCACACGCCCCGGTCATAGACAGGCAGGTCGTCGCAGGCCAGGCTCTCGGGCCAGCTGTGGTTGTACATCTTCATGAGGGGCTCGCAGTCGTCGCGCGCGCGTTGGCACACCGACTTACACGGCTTGATGGGGTCGTGCAGGAACTCGAGGGTGCAGATGGGCGCGTACATGGCACAGAGGAAGAAGCGCAGCACGGCGCTGCAGTTCACGTCCACCAGCTCCTCGTACTGCTCAATGGCCAGGATGGCGTTCTCCTGCGTGCTGTGATGCAGGTGGTTGGGCATCCTCGTGATGTTCCAGGGCATGTGTCGGCACATGGGGATGCGCACCGCCTCGCAGGGTGCGCCGCGCACGCCCAGCGCCAGGCGCAGCCACAGGCACAGCGCCACCAGGACCGAGAGGAGCATGGCACTGTCGTCCCGCGGGGCGACCGCAACAGGCAGAAAGGAACCTTTTCTTCCCGCTCCCTTAGCCTTTCCCTGTGCCTTCTCCGAGGAGCAAGTCCTTTGTGGGCACGGGAGCGATCCTCTTCCCAAATTCTAATCGGCAGTAACACGGGGCTCTGGGGTCCTGCCGCGGATCTCTGCCGTCCAGCGCACAGGGCACCAGCAGCGCCAGCGCCAGCCCTGAGCCTCCCGGCCGCCAACCCTCGCGGGCAGCTCCAGTCTCGATCCCCGCAGCTCGGAGCGCAGCCAGCCACGGCCATTGCGGGACCCTATTTATGCCGACACCTCCCCTGACGTGGGCTCGGAACGCTCCCTTGGCAGCTGCAGGCGCGGCGCGGGCTCCCCCTCGGCTGCCCCACCCCCAGGCCTCGGAGCAGGAGCGGTGACATCATCTCCGCCCGGCTGCAGCCCAGGCCTGTCATCCCGCTTTCTCCCAAAGTCCCCTCCTTTCAGTCTGGCCAGTCCTTATTCTTCGGACGAAAAAAAAGTGCCTCTGGCAGCCGTTTTGGACACCTGATACAAGAGGTCCAAGAGAGACTTTCAAGAGAGGGACAGAAGCTTTTCGGAGTGAAAGCTGAACTTTGCTTCTCCTGCCTTAGTTTCTCAAGCATAGAGTTGGAGGGAAGTGGGAACTGTAGCTGGCCGCTAATTCTCAAACGCACTTCCATTCTCCGGTAGGGGGCGTGAGCAGCGCTGAGGACAGTGGTGAGAGGACCTGGGAGAGAGTGCAGGAAGGACCGGAATAGGATGGACGTGTTATATAAGCTAGCCCATCCTGTCCCTAGTTGTGTGAAGTTTGTTGTTATGCTTAGTAGACGTTAGTTTTGGCTGAAGATTTTCCAAGTAGCAATTGGTTTGCACTGCTCAAGGAACTTAATAGAACTACTGAAAGGTGCAATAGCATTTTTTAGTTTGAGAAATGTCTTCTGGCTACCCACATTCCCCCTTCCTTCTACATGGAACCCAGAAGAAAATAAGAAAACTTTAGACACTACGGTCTGAAAGATTCTTTTTTCCTCCATGCCAAACAATTTCCAACCCATCAATTTAAAGTCTTGATTTTTGATGTGCTTAGAGACTGTTACTCGAATTGAGTAAGAAGCTGTGTACCATGCAAAGCCAGTATGTATGTTTCGTTTCTTCTTTCATCTTATCTGGGTTAGGCAGACGTAGTAAATCCAACTGCTGGCTCAGCTATCCACAGAAAAGGAGGCTTTATTGTGTGCATATCAATCCTCTGGCATATGATATTTTCTTAGGGCAACAGCAATACAGAAATGTGTTCTCTTCATCTTAATCTTTAAAACATGGTTTAACTGAACTTAAGGCAGGTATTTTTTTTTTCCTCTCCAAAGCTTAAGCCCACGGAGTTAGTTTTGATCCCCACCAGGACTAAGGATTAAAATAGCTGGAGAAACAAGCACCACTATCAATGAATGGGAATTTACCATGGGCAAGGCATGGAGCTGAGCATTTTAAGTGCATTATTTTATTTTTTCAGGGAACATGAATTAAAAATAGTAAGTTGAAATGATACACAGACTGGTGCATTTCAGGATTCACCCAAAGAGTCCAGTTTTAATTCGTGGAAGCCCAGTGTCCTAAAATACCAGGCCAATCTAGAAAGGCCAATCTAGAAAATACTTACCTAAAGAACACATCTCAAGCTCCAAAGATGCCAAACCAGGCTAGCAAAATATCAAGCAAGGGGAATAGCCCAGACAACATCTCAGGCCATTTGAGTCTAAATCTCTTGCTAAGTGAAGGAGATTTTCACCTGAAGTTCCTACCAGGTGAGCAAGAGAAAGAACTGAACTACTTACTTTTTCCTATAACTTAGTTGGAGAAGGGCAAGTTTGGAGAGAGATCAAACTTCTGCTGCCCGCTGGAACCTGGTGCATCTGTTTATGCAAGTACCAGTCACAAAGTCTCATGAGCTTTCCTGATGTTTTCTGATGGCATGTCATTTAAGAAGGGGTGAGGGAAGTGAAGAGCCCTCTTCCTAAAGCTCTTTGCTTACCCCCCTAGGCCATTAGTAGCCTGCCTCTAGTGTTTATATAGGGAGGAGGCATCAGGCAAGGGTTCATCAGGAGAACCTGTCAACTGCCCTTCTTCATGCTGTGACTTTAGAATACCCCACTTTAGCATTCAACTCATTATCCCCTTAATTTATTTGCCAAAGCTTAGTAACTAAGGAGGTTGCCTTGACCAGTGGCTTCTCCTTGGTGACTCCTTTGTAGGTTCCTCAAGGGGTTGCTTCTCTGCCCACTATGGAGCTGTCTAAGGCTGCATCCTCACCATATTCTCACTCTCAACATTCCCTGTATTCCAGGTTTTCTGAGCCCTGCTACCTTTGAAGTTTGGGGCCAGATAATGCTTTGTTGGTGGGGATAACTGTCCTGTGCATTGTATGAAGTTTGGTGTCATCCCTGCCTCCACTTAGTAAATGACAAAGGTAGCCTTTTCCCCATCCCCATTGTGACAATCAAGCATGTCTTCAGATATTGCCAAATGTCAGATGTCTTTTGGGGCCAAAATTGACCCCAGAGAGAGACCACTGTTTTGCTCTTTGCCTTCAATTACCATGTACCCATGGCTCCCAAATCCAAGATTCTTGCTGCTTTCTGGAAGTGTTTATCCAACTGTCCTCTTGGTATTTCCACAAGAATATCCCATAGTCATCTCAAAGTCAATGAGTCCTAAAATGAATTCACTACCTTTCCTCACTCAGGATTGACTTCCCAATGCCCCAAACCAGAAACCTCTCCTGGGTCTGACTCCTCCTCTCCCTTCCTCCCTCTCTATTCCCTCTACCTCTGCCTCAGCCCAGTCAGAATGTCTTGCCAGGATTATGACAGCAGCATCCTCTGTCCTGCCTCTACCCATTCTCCACACTGTGGCTTGTATGAGCCTCCCAAGGCACCTGATGGTGCCCCAATCAAGCTTTAGATTGACTGATGGTTCTCTCTGTCCTCAGTATTGATGGCAACATCCTTAAAATAAGTGATATGGCTTCAGATTACACTCTACCTTGTACTTAAACCCAGCACTATACTCGTGTCTGTTCTGTCTCACTTTCACCTGGCTTATTCTTCCTTATCCTTGGAATGCAACTCAAATGGAAAGGAGCTATGAACTTGGAATGTAAGAGTCTTTCTTTTTAGTTGCTTTCTTTTTTCTTGATTGCATGATTTAGAATTAGATCCTAGCATTATATAAACACAAACCCAATTAGCTTTGTTCTTGAAGATACCAAGCACCGCAGACACACAGAACACTTGGCTTGTAGTGTTGCCAGGCAATGGGAAGGGAAAAGTCTCACTGTGTCATGAGCTTCAGACAATGTCCCCAAGTCCTAGGCTGTACTCAAGGACCTAACCCTTGTTCCCTGGACTCTTCACTGGGATCAGGGGCTGGGAAGCGGCCATAAGGAATAGCTAGTATCATTTCTTCAGGAAAGGACTTGTCTTTCCACTCTAAACTTGGAGAAAGAAGGTGGCAGTTTTGAGAAGGGACACATTCTGGTGGGCACGGCAAGTTCAGTAGCTCTGCTGACCTAGCAGTTTGTCCCAGCATGTGATCACCTGTTGAATGGTGCAGTTAATGGAGAAACATACCCATTCCGAGTACAGCACCCTCACTCCCCTTTAAAACGCGATGTCTTTCAGGATGCTAGTGGCACCACTGCCACTGCATTTCCTGTTGGCAGCAGTGAGCAGTGAAAAACAGAAGCGGCTGCAGGCAGCGTCCAAGGCAGAAATAGCTACTGCGCGATTCACCCGAGCTGTCCCTGCTCCCCAGACTCGCGCGTTCCGATCTCAACTGCTGCAGGGGCCACGGAGGGGACAGGAAGCACCTTCGCCCAGACCACACAGCAGGCGCAGTGCGGAGCGAGCGGCGGGAGCCACTCTTTGCCCTGACGCTCAGCGCCCACTTGCTCTCCCCGGGGGGCAGCGGACCGATGCCAGGCTCAGCTCCCCTCCGCGAGGCCCGGGGAGCGTTGGGCGCCTGGCTGCTGGGAGGCCTCTGCGTCTGGACCCTGGGCGGCCTGTGCGGCCTGGGGGCGGCGGGCTCACCGGGGACGCCCCGCCCGTGCCAGGCTCCGCAGCAGTGGGAGGGTCGCCAGGTTCTGTACCGGCAGAGCACCGGCCGCAATAGCCGCGCGCTGGTCTCCTACGACGGGCTCAACCAGCGCGTGCGGGTGCTGGACGAGAGGAAGGCGCTGATCCCCTGCAAGAGGTACGGGGGGCGCTAGGGAAGGGGTGCCAGGGAGGGCGCGGGGGCCTGCTCCTGGGCGCTCGCTTTCCCGCCCCTTGCAGATGTCGTGATCCCTTCTAGAGGGATCCTTTGCAAGGAGGGTCGTTCCTGGTCAGCAAGGTCGGGGTCTGGGGGCAGAGCCGGGCTGGTCCCACTGAGTGTGGCATGTTGGCCGCGAGCACCCCTTCATGCCCCGTGGGGCGGTGGCAGATAAAGAAATGACCTGACAAGGGCGAGATGCACTTGCGGGCGCCCCCATGCCAGGTTCGCCCCGTGCCTGCGCGCTGCTGAGTCAGGCCGGCAGCTGGCTGAGGCCTGGCCGCCTAGGGCGTGTCTTCTGCGCGATCTCATTTCTTCCTGGAGCCATCTGTGAAGGGGCTCCAGGAAGAATATATATTTTCTAAGAAATATTTTTTACATTTTAAAGCAATTTGGCAACACTGCAAAAGGTGTGGGGAATTGATAACAGAAGATTTCACGCACAAACTCATCACATCACCTTTTTACAACTTAAAATTTTGTTCTACTCCCTTAAGGTATTTTGTTTTAAAGCAAATTTTACAGACAGTGATCAGAAAGTCATGTATTATCTGAATCCTTTTTGTTAATACTTAACATTGCCTCTTACGTGGTTTCAATTTACCATCGTTGTCTTAGTCGGCTCCCTGTCAATTTTTAGTGGCTGCACAATATTCCCTAGAAGGACTGTGCTATATACATTGTTTTCATCACTGGTCTGATAATTCACCTTTCCTCATTTGTTGTGACAGAGGACACTCTCTTTCTAAGACCCCATCTTACTTGCGGCCCCTTTAAGACCTAATTTCTAATTTGGGATCAGCAGGGCTCTCTTCCACAGTCCTGGTAGTTTATCTCCCCCTCTCTGGCCTCTCTTTAGGGCATTTGGGTTTTAGGAGTTGCAGTGTGAATATCCATGGTTTAATGGCTTAAGCCTCCAGTAGGCAGTAAGATCTACAGAAAAAGGGCATCTTTAGTTTCTGGAACAAAATAAATCTTGATGTTATTGTTTCATCTGGAAGGAATTTGTTGAAGTATTGGGCAACTTGAAGAATGTATGGAAAGGGCAGACCCTTGCAAACAATATATTCAAGGGTGCAAGATAATGCATCAGGACAGGTAACCCGGAGCCCCAGAGTCATCATGGTGGATGGGGGATATTTACACAGTCTTTCAAGAATGTTTTCTGTTGGGGCTTGATGGGCAAGTTGATAATAATCACCACCACCATCATTTGAGTGCTTATCTAACAGCCATGGTGCTGAAGACTTTACACATATCATATAATTGTCTTTAAATCTTTTTTTTTTTTTTTGCAGTTTTTTTTTCTTTTTTTGGCCAGCTCCGGGTTTGAACCGGCTACCTCTGATATATGAGGCTGGCACCCTGATTGTCTTTAAATCTTACAGTAACGTGACAGTCTAGCTTTTATGACTCCTATTTTACAGACAGTGACTCTGAGGTCTACAGAGATGAAACAGCTTTCTTAAGATCACACAGCTGGTACTTGAGGAAGCTGGGTGGATTCCAACACCTCTAGCATACCAGGATCACATTCCTTCTCTCATTTAATAAGCACTTGTTCATGTAAGGCACTGTACCTACAAACAGGGTGGGTTCTGGTTTTCAGGGAAGTAAGAATCTGGGGCTGGTATCACATAAATAAAAAAATTCCCATGTAGTGAGAGGCTGGGCACCTAACTCACGCTTCTTGGAGGAGGGGAAATATGAGTGAGCTCTAATGCACCTGTATGAGCTGACCAGGGAGGTGTAAAGAGAAGACTGGCCCAGGGGTACATGGGGGTATCCACACCAGTATGTGTGCCGTGCTGGGGTATGCAGGGCTGAGTACACTCTGAGAACTGAAGGCCAGTCGCTGTTAGGGCTGAAGAAAAGAGGATGACAGAGTCATATTGAAGAAGCTTCAAACTGGGGAATGTCATGATTAGATTGTATAAAGATCACTGGACGCATCCTTGAGAACAAATCCCCAAGATTCTGGCCCCAATGGAGCAAGGTAGAGCAAAATAAAAGCACCTGTAGTGGTCCAGGTGAAAGGTGGATAGTAGAAATGGCCATAGTCAGAGGGGGCAAGTGGATGCGTTAGGGAAATACTGAAGTGGTTTAAACTCGGAGGGTGTGCCAATAATTGGGTGGTGTGCAGCAGGGGTGATGAGCGAGAGGGCAGCATTAAGAAGGAGGCCCCATTTGGGGGTCCTGAAGCTAACAGTCTATGGCATGGTGGGCCATGCTGTTCCCTGAAATAGGGTTTGACTCTGTGCACTTCTGATTAGAGTGGACTGCTGCTCTCTGTGTAAGGTGTGTACAATGGTGGTGCATTGATAAAGAGTCATGTTGGAAGGGCCCAGAGCACACTGCTGAAGTAGAAGAGTGTGAATAGGGAAAGGATATGGATTCATAGCCCCTAAAGGTAGTATTTTTAAGAAATTAGCCTTTGGAGTCAGACAAATCCAGATATGAATCCAGATTCTGAATACAGTTCTTTGGGTAAGTTACCTTAGCTTTCTGAGGGTTAGTTTCCTCATTTACAAAATGGGAATACTTATTAATGCCTAATTTATTGGACTATTATGGGGATTAAATGAGTTGAAGTATATAAAGAACACAGTACATTCTGTGATAGTATTTAGGAGATATATGCTTTGCCCAGGACTGAGGTGGTCCCCATTACCACCACCATCTTCATCATCCTGGTGAATCTACCACACATCAGAAACTCATTGTTGGCCCTTTGTGCTCCCACTAGGGCCCTTCTTTTGACAGCAGCCTGGGAGGCAGCAAAGTTAAGTCCAAACCATGTATTTCAATGATTTTAATAGCTGGCACTCAAATTCACGAGACAAAGTCATTCTCTCCCTGTAGTCAGAACTATGTGGGGAGCCAGATTACAATCAGGAGGTTGTGAGCAAAGAGTTGGAACAAATTTATTGAGCAAACATCTAATGATTGCTTGCTCTAGGCTAAGTTGTATGTTCAGTGTTGAGATTTCCGTCATGACTAAGGCAGGCCAGCCCAGGGGAAGCCTTAATGGTAATGATACAGCGATGCCTTTATTTTTAGAACAGAGATACCTTGTTGGGGGTTCTTTGCTACCCCAAATCTGCTGCTCCTGACTCTTTCAACTCCAAACAGAGCTTTGGTGGGTCCTGCTCAAGTTAATCTGAGCAACCTTCTTCTTCCATGACCCTGTGACTGGTATATAGTCTTTAGATGTGCATATTACACATTTAGCCGAGTCAGAGCCAAGTCTTACTGGCCTAGAAATTTTTTTCTCCCTCTGTGATAATGTCTGATTTGTTTGCCCTGATCTGTTAAGTGTTGGTTTTACAGTTTAACTTATAGAAGGCGATTTTATTCCTCTCCTTCCCCAGTTCTTGGCAAGGTTCTGTCTCTCAGTTCCATCGCTGGCCCTAAGTCAGATGTAGAAAAGAATGTTTAGTGCACAAATGTATTTTTAAGCTCTTTCAATGTAGATTTGTTGGAACAAATTTAGAAACTTTTTCAGGTATTAGTAGTCTGGCCAAGAAGCCAGATGTTATTTGAATAAATTGTGGATGAATTGTCTCTTCATATTTATTAGTAAGTTGAGAAGTAAGTTTTAGAATTGGATCAACTTCTCAAGATTTTCATTTTGCATCCAAAGAGTTGTGGAAAATCCCACTGATATTTACTGTGAAAATGACTAGGATTTTCCAGGCTCTTTCTTTCCTTAGATGATGGAAAAGATTAAACAACTTTACAAGCTTCAGATAAGATGCCTGAGCAGAGAATGGGAAATATTAGTAATTGATACCATTTTGTTTTCTGGTTCCAGCTGTCTTTCTTAACTCCTTGGTTAAATTCACAAGTATTTGCTTGTAAACTGGAGGAAAAGCAAGAAGATCATGATCCTATTTCAGGCAACATGTTGAACTTTATGGGAGAAGCAATGTAGATACTGAATGAACCCTCTCAGGCCAGCATAACTTACTGTTCCTATTTATGAAATGATGGTTGAGTGTTGGAATCAATGAAGCTACTACTGTAGGATGAGCAGAGAAACTTTTATAAATAAGCATAGAAGGGGTTCCATTTTGGGAGACTATTCATTGTCAATCCTATGTGTTCTATTGAGGACTTTTTATTTATAAAAGATGAAATATATGTCATAAATGGAGTGGCAAGGGGATTCTTAATTCAAGTTCTGATTAATTCATATATGTCCTAGTTTTCCCAGAGCATATTATTTCTTGTAGAACAACATAGCATCTCTCTCTCTCTCTCTCTTTTTTTTTTTTAAAAAGAGAACCAACCTGCTGTGGTGGAGAGAGCAGGGGCTTCTATGTTAGATAGCCATGGGATGCCACCCATAGCTTCTATTCCTGGCTTCACCACGATATGGTCCTTAACTTCTCAGAACCACAGTGTTTAACTCATCTTTTAATTTAATTTTAATGATGCCTACCGTGTTGATACCAACTAACTTTTAGGCCTTCTTTCTTAAAAGCTAGAGACAGATAGAGTTAAATGATAGTTTGAAAGCACTGATTGTACTTTTATTCCATCAGGCTGCTTTGCTGTTTCTACCATGAGGCAAGGAACTTGACATAGATGCTGAAGTGTTTCTCAAATTGTCCCTTTGTGTAGATACATTCAAGGTTTTCTTTCTTTCTTCTCCTTTTCATCCAAGCCTATGCTTATAAGTAGAGAGGAGAAGACTCTTCTCTCCATTGGGCCTCCCTTCATGCTAAGAATTGAATAGGATTACTTGGGAGAGAGTGTTGGTCCACATATCTTCTGTGGACAGTTACTTCCAAGGGCTGTTATCACTGGATAACTTCAATGATCACATGTGTTTGAGGATGAGGATAAGGATTCTTTCTCAAGTACATAATTTCATTTTATACTGATACTATATCTCACAATTGTAGAAAAGTTGCAATCCTAGTACAAAGAGCCTGTTT